CTTAATCTCTTCTCCTAAATTGTTAGCCTTAGTGCCTTAGGTGAAAGTAAATGTCTTAAATATTTGGCAATATTAGCAACTTCCCTGATTCTTTAATCTATATAAAGAATAGTTTTATACTAAGAATGCATTAATCCACTACTTAAAAATGTCACCAGGATGAATCTATGCCATTAAAATGCTTCAGGCATGCCTGAAAAGAAATAATTGGCGGCATTAACTGCTTTCATCAAGGACAAAAATCTTCTTCACTTCAAAGAAGTGAAGACATGATCAATTTCTTCAAAAATTTGAAAGAATTAGCGACATTAAAAATAACGAAATTGGCTTTGCCATTCTTGTTTAATTTACTGGTTAAACCAAGAAGCTTTGAAATAAAATATTTCTGCCATTTTTACTAGCTTTTTTTTGCATTGTAACAAAATCAATAAACAAACGTGAATCACCTTTCTGCTTCATGCTCTACTCAAGTAGAATATAGATGATTATTTAGGGCTTTGTTCTTACAGGGTGATTAATTTCCTCTTGAATCTCACAAGGCAGTGAGAACATTTATGTAGCATGCATAAAACATACAAACATTAAATCTATAGCTCATATGGAATAACTATGAGAAACATACAAGTCTCTTTCGTGCTGGCCGTAACAATGATGGATGATTTACAGGAATAGGATAGATAGGTCAGTGCTGACTTCTTGTTTTAATGCCTAGACGGAGAGAGACCTCTGGAATTTTACTACTGTTAAGTTGTACATATAATCAATAACTCTTCTAGTTCTCACTGAGCATAAAATTCTGTCAGCTCCTTAATGCAATAACATGAACTCTACTTTGTTTTTTTTTTTCCTAGCTACTCTCTGTCAAAATATATATTTTCTAATTCCAGTAAAGTGTTTTTTCTTACTTCTTGTTGTTTCTCAGGAGAGTGACCTCTTACTTTTATCTCACTGCCTTTTATATTGTTACATATTATGACTAATACTGGTGTACCTCATTACATCACAATATTTTGACACAAGCTATTTATCGGCTTTAAAGTACTGACTGATTAGATTTTGGTGTTTTGATTTGTTTTGATTTTTTTAAAAAGGATGATTTAATGTTTTCTTCTTTGGTGTTTTCCACTATCATCGTTATTGGGACGGATAAGCTGACCTCAGAACTAATGAAATAGCTCATACAACTAGTGAGTAATTAACTCCATGATTTTGTAATCTGCATGGGGAGCAAGAATGTTCTAATCCTCTATAGCATAAACTGCTTTCTAATGAGATATGTATCTTCTCCAAAAAATGATCTGCTCTTTATGCTTATTGGTCCCATCTTTTTACCCATTGCAAACAATATAAATAGCAAGTACATCAGCTTTATTGGATCTGTAATTATTTACAGTCAAAGCAATTCACCTTGTAATGCTTTCACGAATTCAGGGAGACAACAATCAAGAATTTATAAACACGGCATGAATTTGGCCCTAAACCATGGAGGCCAAATGGTTCTTTATAATCTGCTAATTAAACTTAATTAATCCCTCCCAAAAATGGCACATGAACAGAAGAAAAAGACCTATCTCAGTCTGGAAAAAATTGACTTCTGAACATGAGGGACCTGGGCATCCCTGATCATTGCACTGCACTAGTGCCAGTTCCCTAGCAGTATGAAAAGCTGAACACGTGAGTGAGAGAGGAGAGTGCATACGATGGCAGTTGTCTGAGCAGCAAGGAGGTAACCAGTTCAGTGCAGGACATTTTCTCTGTTCTGCTGTAGGCTCATATTCTGAGTAGACAGAGCTGTTGTTTGGATTAGTCTTTTATACCTTTTCCTCGTAAGACCTAGTTGTTTATACAGTTTTGTTCTTTTTAGACCTAGCTTTGTAAGTCATTTGCAACAAAACAAAAAAAGTAAAGGAAAATGTCCGGGCCTGAATTCATTGGTCCTAAGTTCACACTGTATTTGCTTATGGGACTCATCTGTATCCGCAGAGGATCCACCCTGCAATAGTCAGGCCAGTCAGGCTTGGTGCAGGCAGCTTCCTGCTCAAGCTCACCAAGATGAAACAGAATTGAGGTGTGTAGACAGGGATGGAATAAAGCATCAAAAGATTATTGTTCCTGATCTTCAGAATGTCTTGCCACAGACCCAGTGATATGGTGATAAGGAAAGAGTGATAGAGGTAAGCAGTATGCACTAGCAAATTAAGGACTGACACATTTACTGTTAATGTGATTTTTGGTTTTCAGTGAAAACAAAACAAATTTTTTATCCGGTTGTTTCAAATGCAAATTTTAACATTTACATATATGCCCCACAGGTCACTGTAAAAAATCACAGCATGCTTGTCTAAATTAGATTCATTTTTCCTTCATTCAGATGTTATTGTGGAAAGGCTGAGACGTTTTGATTTCTGTTAAAAAAAAAAAAAACAACCCAGCATTTAGACCCATTTGTTAAGCCAAATTAAATGGCCAGTTCCACATGCAGAGTCCTGAAAAGGTTCCATTTAGTGAGAATCTGGGGATAGACTCATCAAGACATAACCTCCCGGCGTTTTTCCCTGATGCATTAATTTTTTATTTGATGCTGTCAAATAAACAGAACAAACAAAGTGGCTCATTAGAAGTTTCATCACTACTTAGCACTGAAATAGAGTGAATTTCATTCAGTGCAAATGCAGTTGTTTTCTTGCAGTTTGCAGCACTGAAGAAGTCTACGGAGGAATAAAAGATCCCTATTAAGAGCATACTGACAATTCGAGATTCTGTTAAAACATTAATCTCCTTGAACCTCAGTAAAATTGCTTATGAAACCCTGCAAAATGGTGCTGCACATATTCATACAGTCTGGCTGTGTACTGTAAGCATGAGAAACACTGAAGTAGTGTGTTCCCATATAGTGGTAAGGATCTGTGCTTCTTCATGTAACATTTATTTTCTCGCTTTGAGTTAGTGGATCAATATGAGAAGTTCAATTTTAAAATGTGGCAGCTTTAAAGGGTTATCAAAATCTTGCACTTAGGACCTGATTCAAAGACCATTAAAATCAATATAAGGGCTGACTCTCATTGGCTTTGATAGGCTTCACATCATGCCCTTCAGCTTGTCTTTGAACTCACAGTCAACTTCAAAACAGTCTTCAAGGAAGAGTATATCTTCCTATTTTTTCAGATACTTAATGAAACTGAAGCTGTGTATTTTTCCAGAAGCTCCTTTGTAGAGAAATAGTACTTTTAGGTAATAAACCCTACAGACATACACACTTTGATAATATCACTTTCACAAATTATATATTTTGAGGTTCCAGATTACAGACTGAGATAAACCTGAACATGTCTTTGGTATCACTTACTATTAAGCACCCTTTAAATAGTTTTGTGTCCCTTTTGTTCATTGACGGACAATCATCTATTCATACAATTATTATTAGATAAATGGTGATATTTTGTATTTATTCATGTTGCTAATATAAGAACTCTGTAGAAAAACAATCTTGTTCATAAGCATAGGATCGGCAGCATGAAAGTGGAATGATAGATTTTCTACAAAGTTCTACCTTGGCTGTTGGGGAATTTTATGGTAAATTAGGTGGCTTGAGGTTCCACATCATTTCAGTCTGTAATCATTCTGCTTAGGCTAGAAAAGGATAGTTTTATGGGGCTGTTTTTTAGCGTTAACCTGCACTATCTCTGTGAGAAACTGTAGTCTGAAAAGCTTTTGATGACATATGATTAATGTCATGGACTGCAGAAACAAATCAAAACATGATTTTGCCACTGCTAGTAGTGCCACCTTTCCAATGAACAATGCCAAGTGTAATAAACTATTGTTTGCTTGCTGGATGGAGTTTCAATGAGGCTGTTGTGTCACCACCATTAAATTTCTCAACTAGGGTTCTCCAGGTGGACATTAAGTCTGTTGTAATGTCAGCATGAAACATCCATGATCTAATTGGCTTGCCTGCAGACACTCCATGTAGCCTCAAGATGGAAAGAAAGGTCAGAATTCAAAGAACAGATGGCAACTGGCTACAGTAATTAAGTGCTGAAAATTCAATCCTTCCTTGCACACATTGCACAGAATGTTTAATCAGAGGGTTGACCAGTGAAACTGGGTGCTCGGTATTATTTTTCCCTTTTCTGACTGTAGGAATTCATTTCCTACTAGAAATAAGATATTTATTACATTAAACAGAACACTAAGTATGTTAAAAATTCTCCTGAATAGGAAGGGGACCCTTATATTTGAAAAGGAACAATTTTAATTTAGAAAGTTGTTTTCATTATGCAAAATATCCCTTCAGGGAATAGCAGAGATGGAAAGCAAATTATTGTCTTATCATTTGTCCTCAGTGCCTTGTTCTTTAATTTGAATACCATAGACTATGGTTCTAGTCACAGCCATACGGTCAGTAAAATAAACCGTCAAATAATTGAGAGATGAGCAAAGTAAGGTTAATTTAAATCAAAGCATCTGTCAACACAAAACATCTTAAATCACTGAGAAAAAGAATCAGCTTTACCTGTTGTCATGGGCAAAATAGTTTCACCTTGGAAATTTTACTTAATTTAATTTATTGCAAAATAGCATAAGCTTTTGATTACTGACTTTGGGATTGAGAAAAAAAAAACATAAACAACTAAACACATTGTGGAAATTTCTTTCATTCCCCTTTCCCCAGGTTCAGCTCACCTTGATTTCACTGCACATTACACTTGGTCCATCCCAGTCCCTTCAGTGGGGCAAGAGGTGGCGCAGGAGGCTGGGAGTGGTGAGTGACGACTTCCCTTCGCTAATCCTCCCTGCTTCTTAGTCATTTTCTTCAGGTCTGACAGGGGTCCCCACAGGCATAGTCCCACAGGCATGTCCCTGCCCTGATGTGGGGCACCCACAGTCTCTTGGGGGCGTCCCTGCCCTGACATGGGTCTCCTCCTTCCAGGAGTGTGTCTTCAGCTGTGTCCCCAGCAATGTCCCCTTCCGTGTGTCCCCACTGCGTCCCCTCTCACCAGAGCTGCGGCTCTGTCTGAAGCTTGGCCGGGTGCAGGGGCTTCCTGAAGGGCTGCAGTGCTGATGGGTGGTGGGCTGTTCCCATTGGCACTGGAGGTATCCACACAGGGCACCATGCAGCCCCCGCTGTCTACACCCTGCCAGTTATGGCCGACACACCTGTGGAGTTATTCGTTTGATTTTACTGGCTTTAAGAAAACAAAAAAAGATCAGGTAGTTAAACCAAGTTGCAAATATGTTACTCATGAATTTTTCTCTTTCCTGCATGCATACTTGATTTCTTAGTTTTAAATTTAAGTGACAAAAAAACTGTAATCATAATGTGCCATCACTAATTAATAGCTAAAGAAACTGATGGAGCTGCCATAATATTCTGCCTTTTACTATTGCTTTGAGGTAGTTCAGTTCTTTCTTACAAGACACTTGCAAATAGCATTTCTTCAAAAAAAGAAAAAGACTATTGGAACTGAAGCTTACTGAAAATTTTCAGCAGAAGCAGAAAATTTATTCCTCACAGTTTAGGTGCTCCCTGTTAGACATCATTCGGCCAGCTGCTGTCGTACAATTAATGATATGAAAGACACAGAGAGTAGTATAAGACAACAATTAATGGCCACTTGAAAAATGCAGACACATAGGTTTCACTCTGCAATACCAAATGAACAAACCTGTTTGGACTGCAGAAATAGGAGTTAAAACTTTTAAGACATATTTGAACCTGAGGTGCAGGTATGCTTTTTCTCCTGGGACAAATACTTATTTCCCATATACATTTGAGGGCAATGTTTAGTCACGATGAAACAAACCTGACTGACTCATGGAGATCTCAGTAACAGGAATACTTTACACTTAGATTGGCGTTGGAAGGATGTGACAAATGACGTCAAATATCCTGGTGACTAATCACTTTGTGTAAACTTGTGACATCACTTTGTGGTAGAGATAAACAAATATATTACATATCCTTTTGTATATTTGACGCTTAGGCCTGAGTCCAAAGGTATAAACCTGTGTTCTATAATAATTTCTATACTTGCTACATTTGTTTCAGATTTGATACGGAATTATAAAACTAACTTCACTTTTTTTTTAACTGCAAACTTCAGCATAAAATCTGGGCACATAACTGCAATTTAAAAAAAAATTTATTGATTTACTTTACAGATATTGCTTCCTGAGAAAGGGGGCATGCATGAAACAAATTCTCCCCACTTTCTTTCTTTCTGGCTCTCCTTCTAAAAAGAGAATAGAGGAGAAGAGGGGAGGCAGGAGGGAGGAGAGGAAGAGGCATACTCAGGAATTCTAAGGTTTATGTGAGTTTACACCTCATGCGTGGATTCATAGTTCTTCATTGTTCATCCTCTGCTGAGACTGATTCCTGATTACCTTATATCTAATGTATACATCCCTCCTTTACACTAATAAATATCATTGATTTGATGATTTACTATACACCAAATATTGATTCACTATATTTCTCTTCTTAGGTAACTTTCTGATTGTTTGTATCTCAAAGGCGTCTAATCTCATGCTTCTGGTTTACTGTCATTTCACTTACTTTGGTCTAACATACTTACAAAGACATAAATCACCATATTCTTGCCAAAACATTGATGAAACCTGAGAGAATTCCATAAAACTGACATGTTTCAGAAATACAGAGAGAAAAGATGTCAACTCACTTCATATTAGAAGCCTATCGGTAAAACCTCTGATAACACCTAAACTGTTAACAACAGACTTTGACAGACAGTTCTTATGGTTCATTCGTAGTTGTTGCTCTTCTTGACATAATCTTATTCACCTTTTCTAAGTGTGAAATGAGAAGCATTTACTCTCAGAATCTGACTGAAGCTTAGTAGTCTAAAAGTAGCAAAACATTCTTTAGCTTTTTATTAAAATAATAGGAAAAAATCTTAGCCGTAACATTTTGTCTTTTCAGTCAGTCAGTCTGTCTCCTGCACATTCCACGTAACCATTCTTAACACATTTTTATTATTTGTTTCTGTGCTTTCCAAAGCTGTGATTTTTCTTGACAGTGAAAATAATCAGAATCATAAAAATCTACCTTGGTGGCCAGAACATGAGAATCATTCTTTCAATAAAGTAAACAGGAAAATCCATCACTGAAAAAGGTCTACTCCTTAGTGCTTAAAAGATCATCACGATACCAGGTAAAACCAGAGTGCAATCAGAAATAAGAAACCTTAAAATACTCCATATCCATTACCACGGTTCATAATATTATTTTAATACTGTCTTTTTCTTTGTCGCATTTATTTTTATATTAGTGCTTTTAGTAGAGTCTTACCACGGAGCACTTGCAGCACCAGTCCACCATTCTGTAAAACGGAATTAACCAGGAGAAAAAGTGTAAAAATACGTGACTAGGGAACTGAGGAAAAACTTAGCAGCTGCTATCACCTAAGTCATGTAGCCTTGTTTGAAGTCCAGAATCTACTGTCATCTATCCAGGTTGCATGGTAAATACATATCATAAAATAGGTTGGAAAGAAGCAATTATTCGATTCATCAAAAACATTCTGAGCATTGGTTCTGTTCTACATTTGTTTCACTTTTTCCCACCCCTTCGTCAAAGCCATCTGTCCCATAAGCTGGCAGCAACATGTGGTAAATTCCTTCTTTGGGATGTTGTTCTTTGATGCAAGTTCATTTCATTTCTTTCTAAGACATGTCACTTTTCAAATTGTGTCAATCAGCGTAGCTCCAATGAAACCAGTGGAATAATAACAATATACAATACATAATTCCTTTCCCCGACATACCTTGTTTGTTTTGTTCTTCAGGGTGTGTGTACAAGACATACATTTTACTCACAAGACTCACGTATGCTGGATCCCAAGCATGTGCAAGTAGACTGTAAATAGCTTCTATGTGCTTTGAATTAAATCCATAGTCAAAGAACAGGAAACAAAAATTTAATACATATACTTTTTTGTAGATAAGCATGTATTAGCAGTTTATTTGATTTTTGTCTGATCCTGTATTAATGAAATACTTTTGAAGACTCATTCTAGATTAAATTGTTGAAATTCTGACAAAAAACAGCTAGTGAATTAACTCGTATTGGCTAGCCAGAGAGAGAGCATGGAGAAAAGATATGGTGAAAAAGACAATAGGAACCAGAGGGAAAGCTAAGACTGAGAAAATGAAAATATGAATGATGAATAACAAAAGCACAATGAAACAATAAAAGGAAGGAAAAAATTATTATTTTTGTAAAAATTACTTCTTCAGACTATGGGATGGGAATACCTTGTTTAGACAATGCCATCACTGAAGAGACAAGTCAGAACCTGTTCAAATATGAACTGTTTGAGCTTCAAATGGAGTTTGAATGGTGCAGTTTCTCCTTGCAAGGCAGAGGTGTTCTAATATTTGCTTTCATCTGGAATTACTTGGGGACAATGGGGCAGCATGGGAGATGCTGGCCTAGGATCCCAATGCCGATAGTAGGATGGAGTATGAGATATTGTAGACATTCATTTTGGAAAAACTTCAGGCAGTGTATTTCAGTTATATTTCTGTGCAATCCTCCCCGTTTCTTTTTTCCTTTTTTTCTTCCTCTAATCTCTCCTCCTCCCCACGCCCACCCTTGGCAACTAGTATTTCTATAAAACGCTCATTTTATGAATGAAAAATGTTCAATTCAAACTTTGACCAGTCTTGTATAGAAAAGGATTGCTATTTTTTGTTCATACTAAATCATATAGGACAAGCCGAACAGTATAATGCAGTGACATCTTCTGGGGGGTACCTGATAATTTTTTGAAGGAAGGTAATTAATTGTTCAGAATGTGTAAACACTTCAGATTTCCATCTATACATCATACACTTTTAACAGAATGTTCTTCTTACTGAGCTTTGACATGAACTGGAGGCACTCTCACCTTTAATGATTTACGAACAGATGGAATTATTGCCTTAAATGTTCTGTTGTCTGCACCTATAAACACATAAAATACTGCTTGTCTAGGACTTTTAGTTACTTGTGAATGATACTGTAAAACCGTGTTATAGTACAATATATCACAGGAAGGTTACGCTATAACTTGGCTCCTGTGAGATGTTGCCCAAAGTGATGACTTTGCTTGGCTTTCTCAGAGTTTCTTAATTGCAGTGTGACCGCTTCTTAAGAACAGAGAACAAGGTCTGGGCACTCCACCACTCAAGAGCACCATGCGGGCCCCAAACTGCCTGAAAATCATAGGCAAAGAAGTCCTACGAAGGGGAGAAGCTCATTGTGGCCATAGATGCCTTGCACTTGACCCACAGGAGCTTCCCACATCCCAAGCAGGCTGCGGCGAGGGTATGAGCAGGCACAGCCCAGTTCCAGCACGTTCAAGGAGGCTTTCAGACCAGAGACTCTGGTACTGGTGTTCCAGATTAGTGGCTGCCTGACGCCTCTTGCATAAACCACAGATATTGATTTGAGAAAGTATAAGGCCAAAATTCTGTATTCAGGGTGGGGCAGGAAAAGGAGCTTTAGCACCATCACGAACTCTGTCCCGGCACCACTGCAGGTAGACTGACCAGCAGAAGGCAGGGAAGTATGAGCAGAAGTAATTCAGACTGCATTAATATGCTACAAAGAAATCTCGCTATTTAATAGTGGAAATTACATTAAATACCCTTCACAAGCTAGTTTACAATATTAAGACTTGCCTAAAACTGTTATGAAGAAGCGTATAAATATTTCCCTTTTAACTTTGTGTGAGCTTCTTTTTCTGCACAAATTCTGTGTTACATAACTGCTAAAAAGATGGATGGCAGAGATCCAGAAAAACAGATCTGTGTGTAGTGCAATTGTTTTTCCACTGCTAAGGTAGAAAATCAATAGTGCATCAAATCTGCTTTGTTCTTGAATCACTAAGGGCTTCGGTTCCAGATGGGCACATAAAAAAATTACTTACCTCAGCTTGCGTGTATATATTAAAAAGAAAAAAAAAATCAGATAAATAAGCCAGAGCTTTAAAGTGCTTTCATTTTAAAACATTTTAGTCATCTTATTCATCATACAGATCAAATCTAATCTACCAGAAAACAAAACTTCATTTTCTATCAGGAATCTCTACATATTTAGCAGTGGTACACAATTTGATGTTTATATTCTGAAGTACTATTTTTTCTATCAATATTATACAACCTAAGATGAAATGTGCTTATATTAAGGACACAGAGGAAGCTATCCTTAACTTTTGACAGTGTTTCTGTAACTACAATTTTTGATAAATATGTCAGGGGACAGTGAGACAGGGAATGTAATAGGTTAGGCTGGAAAGCTGAAACTCGAATTTAAATTCAAAAGCTATATCAAAGTTGTCAGAAATGTCTAGTGGTTCTTATTACCTCAGTTACTTCATGACCAATTTGAAACACTTCACTGAATTTGAATTTTCAGAATTTATATAGCTGATCTTTAAAGAACAAGCTGGTACACTGCCTTAAACTGGGAATTCTACTGAGGTGAGTGACATTGCCATTCACTTTTGAAAGCTTAACTTCCAATGAGAAAGTTTCAGAAATGGAATAATGATCTCAATGTTCAACTGCTTGTGAAAATTTAATATTTAATACATGCCTTTAATCCCAAAGGATTACCTCTTTTTTTCCCCAATAAAATTTATTTATGGCAGAAAACATACCATTTTCTATGAAAGTCAGTAATCTAATCAACAAGAGTCACATAGCAAATAGTAAAATATGTCAGGAAGAGAAATTCTAATTGCAATTCTGATAATGGGGAGAGTCCTCTGGGATTGCTGTTTTTGGTCTGATCTAGTTTGAATTTATATCAATGGAAATCATCTGTCTTTTATACAAAATGGGTTGTGCATTGGGCAGTTAGTGTTTGGATTTGGCAAAGAACTAGCAAGTAAATGTTTATCCACTGAAAAGGACAGAATCTAGATAATGTTACAAACTCAGAGTAGCTGAATTAATACCATTAGGTGAACTCAGTGCCCTGGCAACAGTTGTAGAAAGAAATCCACTGTGTTATGACATTTCTTCTCTTCTAATGCAAGTGATGAATTCACAGCATAGGCAGTCAAATCACTCTGCGGTATACAGAGTGATGGAATAGAGGAAGCAGAATTCCCTCCCTGTCTAAAGGAGATAAACGCTATAAAATATGATACTTCCTGTTACAGAAGCAGACTACGTGGCTTATCAAATCAAATCCTCTGCAGGCCAGGTAACCATAAAAGGGAGTTCCTTAGGCTCTCACAAAACTTTTATTCCATATACTAGTGCATTCCTTGAGTCAAAACCCTCCAAACCACCTTAGAATATGCCTAAGATTTGCAGTAAAAGACCAAAAGCTACAACTATAACGTGCTACAAGAACAGACAAGAGGATATCAAGGGACGCAGCAGTGGCCTAGTTCCTTTCTCACAAATGACACACTAAGAGGATCACATGTAGAAGACAAGGAAACATGAAAATCTCCCCTCTTTCTCCTTGTACCAGAATATTAAGTCAAGCAAGGTAAACCAGAATGGTAAATGGTCTTGCCTTTATTTACACCCCAGCACAGTAATTCTGACAAGCATTTGACAAAAAGTATACGGAAACACATTAGGGAAGTACTGGCTACCTTTTGAAATGACAGGTTTGAGTCACTGCCGTCAGCCCAGGAGGAAGCCCGCCGGCTGTGCCCACTCTTGCATTGATGGAGTCGATTCATTTTGCTTTCATTGTACTTTGCAGTGCCTTTAAACTGACAGTGAATGACATGGTTGTGAATGAATGCTACTTGGCTAAAAGAGAGTCAGATGGAGGATACAGATACAGAGAAATAAGTCACATATGGCTTCTACTGTTTCAAGCTACAGTTAGAAACTAAACTTGGTGCAAAATAAGGTAGCTTTAGAGAAGGGCAAGAAAGAGAAGGAGGTCAGGCTTCACCCAAGCTTCACTGTATATCTGCAGTTTTGCAGGTAGCCTGACCGCCTCTGTGCCAGGACAGGATGAATTTCACAGATTAGTGTCAAGACTTAAAGCCATGTTATTCATATCGGCCTCCAAGCATTTCTCCACACTTTTTAGGACACTGTCTCAGTTAGCGTCCTAGAAGAATTTCTCACCCAGTGTAAAACAGTCTGTGCTCTAAACCTGAAACTCTAAAACAAATGAGGAGAAAAAGAGTAGGTACTTCCCAAATACTGAACCAGGGTAAGTATTACGCAAAATCTGGTCATAATTTATTATCTACCGGTTTCATTGCTGTTTTTTGCTTTGTCAGTTTCTGTGTATTTTTATAGCAATGTAATATTTTTTCAGGAATATTCACTTGTTCAGGGAATCTGGATGTGCTGATTTGCATTCTTTCAGAAGAGTTTTTAAACTAGTAATTATCGCCATTGAGACATAGCTGCTGTTGTGCCTGGGGGAGTGCTTCTTGGCATTCTCAAACACAGGCCTTAGCAGAAATTCTTCAAGCCAGTTTGGTGTGAAAATATGCTTCCTGGATGAGGAGAAAGTAGATCCCTTTAGCACAGCAACTGCTGCAATAGCAGGGGGAACAACAGGGAAGACATTACTTTTGTGCCTTTTCCCACTAAGAAATAAATGTCATTCTCTTGCAGAGCTTCCGTCTGCACTGTTTTTCTGACCTAACAAAATTAGAAATACACTATTGAGTCGCATAGCTCTATTTATATACTAGTTACAATAATAAAGAATTTAATTACAATTGAATTGCCACTAACATAATCTGCCCAACAAATAATCTTCCTGTTTGTACTATATATTGTACCTCTCACTTTTCCTGTGATTTAGTACACAGCAAAGAGAGCTACAGTTAGGTTTCCATTCAGACTTCACACTACAACTTTTAAGGAAAAAAAAGATTATTATCTTATTGAAAAGCCAGGAGAAACTAGAATCTGACTTTTTACTGTGTGTTTTCTGGTCATCATTTGCTGTACAAAAAACTCCATTACAAAATTTTCAAAATATTGTTATACAGAAAACAACTTTCTTACACATATTACTTCACTGTGTCTTATAGCCTAGCATTGGCAAAGGCAGCAACAAGAGTACAGGAAAAGACAGCTTTAGAGACAAAAAAAGGTTCACACATACAGATAAGAAGAGAAATGGTCCTGGGAGAAGAGGATAGCTAATCTGAACTCAGGGGCTTGAGGGAGGAGAAGGAGCTAGGAAAAGGGCTGTAGGATCCTTTCTCTGAGATCAGAGCATGTGGGTGGGCAACAGGAAGGAGGACCGCTTATGAAGAGAGGGAAAGACCCTCCTCTCACCCACACATATTGTCTCACAGTTTTTGAATCTCTGTTAATTTTTCCCAGGACTCTGAGTGAGCAGCGAGCATCACAGATGCCTCAGACATTCCCATTCTCTTATCTGCCTCTGAACTCTTCACACCTGGCAAATCTACCCTCCTGCAATATTAATTACAACAACAGGGAGAGAACTGGATGAAGGAGTATCAGTTATGGAGGGAGGTATCTGGAGGCTTCACCAGAGAATAAAGCTATGAGGAATACAGCATGTTAGACATGTTTTTAGCATTTGGATAAATGATTTTCTTAATAAGTATCATGCATGGTTTCATGAACATCACATCTTTTCTTCTTTTCCAGCAAGGAGTACACAAAATACAATGGAAGTGATCAGTACATGGACACCCACAGCCAGTCAATTTGATTAACAAACAAACAGTGCAGAAAATCAAAGCACTGTGAAAAGGTATCAGAGAAGGACAGAGACAAGAGAGGAAGTTAGAATTCCAGACAGAACAAAAGCAAGTGAAAGTAAAGTACGGATTACCTAGCTCACATGCTTAAGATGAGCCTATCTTTAATTTCAGATTTTTTGTAATATTTTTGTAATATCCACAAAGTTACGGAGTTCCCATCTCTGTATCAAAAACCTTTTTTTGCTTCTCATTTTCAAAAAAAATAGTTTTCCTCTCACGACTGTGAGACTGCTATCAGCAATTATATTTGAAATATGAGCACAGCTAAAACGTGTATATAGTGAATACTTTACCCATAGAAAAATAGGACAATAGGAAGATTTTTTTTTTTTTTACGAGAAGCAGGAGAATGTTTTTGATACAGATATGGGAATTCTGTAACTTTGTGAATATTGCAATTATTCTGAAAGTAAAGATAGGCTCATCTGTGAGCTGGCCAAAGACTCCAGGCCAAAGAGAGATTTCTGCAACACAGAGATTTAACCTGGATATCATGCCTCCAAATTGAAAAGGGCAGCTGAATTGTCCAGGAAAAGGATTAAAACAGCGACAATCAATAATTTGGCACAAATTAGCAGACTGAACTGAAAGAATTCAGAATAAGGACAAAGGTAGGCCAACTAATGCAGGCAGCATGGCCCCACAGTGTGATAAAAAATGTGAAAAGCTAGACAAAATACCTAATGCAAGGGCAATGGAGCTAAAAGTGTAAGAAACAGGAGTACTTATTTCCCTATGCTAAAACTTCAACAGGAGGAAACTAAAAGAAACT